TATATTCTGCAGTTCTTCCCTGCTGTACCAAATATCTATACTTTTCAAATTATCACATCGAAGTTAGAAATTCAAATATTGTGACAAAATTAATTTTGTAGGGTGCCACAAGTTTGTTAAAATTTCCAAAGGGTGCCGCGACTAAAAAAAAGGTTGGGAAACACTGGTTTAGAAAATGCGTGAAATATGCGTTCTGTGTAAATGGCTTGGTTTCAGTTTTGATGTAAACAAGATCTTCTCCGCATTGATGTTCTCTTTTTCCGCTATATTTTTAATGAACAACGCAGCAGCGCCACATCTAGTGGCTTCAACTGGACAGGCTAACAAAAACATTATAATGCAATGACACTTACATCATCATCGCATCTCGTGCGCTGCTGATAAGGCTGCCTCCTTAACGCACACCTAAAAAAGTCGAATGCAACGTTTTTGCATTCTAATGTGGATTTTTATTTTAAATTCGATGAATATTCGAAATTCAATTTTTTTTGACAGCCCTACTGCCCTCTAAAATGCAGATGAACTGAACTTAATTTTATTTGATATTAGCTTTCATACTCCATTTTACAATTCTAGTTTGACAATACCCAATATTCAATAATGATAGTAATATAAAAATAATGCTAATAGCAATAACAATTAATTAATTCATAGTTCATTAGCCTAATGGTAGGCTGTTTTAAGGAGCACTTGGAGGATTGAACTCTTATCAGTGTGTGTTTATTTGCATTTTAGTTATCTAAATGATCTGTTTTATAAGTAATTGTTTCGTAAATGCAAAAGGAGACTGAGATAATAAACTGGTCTGTATTTCCTCACCTGTCTGATTGTGATTTTGTCCACCAGGTTGTCCCATAGGTGGCGTTGCTCAGTGAGAGGCTCCTGAATCATGTCTCGGTCTGTTTGGTCGCTCACTTTTCTGAGCAGCAGCTCTCCTTGGTGGCAAAGCTTCTCCATGTCAATCTGCTGCTGGTAAACTTCCACTTTATATTGCTGTGCCATGTAAAAAGAAAAAGGATCAATCTTTTTCTCAATGTGTTTTTTTGAGATAAGAGTAGATAAGGTCTGATTCAAACCTTGAGCTCCTCGATCTGTTGTTTAACAGTGCTGAGGTCTGTCCCTACAGCTGGCATGTCACACAATTTGATCACAGCGTTGTCCAAGTAGTCAAACATGCCCTGAGGAGATATAAAGTGATAATTGTGAACACACAGTTGGCTTGACACATCAGAGAAGATTTTGTGGTACCAATAGAGTGATAGACACCTGAAGAGCATCCTGGTACTGCACAGAGGCAGTCATGGCCTCTTCCAGTCTCTCCATTCTCTCTTTCCACGTGCGGTTCAAGCCTTCCCAGGCTGCATTCATCTAAGCGAAACAAAATGGAGATATTTTGTTTAAATGTGAGTGAAAAGGGCGTTCCCTACATTGCTCATCACTGTTCTACCCTCTTACCTCATCGATGGTCTTCTTGACCTCTGGTTTCTCAGTCTCTCCACAGGCAAAGATGAGGTCAGCTCCAAGTGTTTGTACGATCTCCAGTTCTTCCCTCAGCCCATCTGTCTCTGCCTTAATGGCCTGAGTGTGAGACAAAAACATCATGACTACATTCTCTTGAGAGCAACATCCTGACACAAGATTATGTAGTTTGATCTACTCTAAAACCCCATTAAGGAGAGTTTTATTCAAATGTACAGTGCTATTCATACATAGGCTATTCACAGTATTTCTGCTGTAATAATGACAAAGCTGATTGTTTTCTAACTTTTTTTTGAACAGAAACTGAACATTGAGCTTACATTTTGTGATTTCAGAAGTTACATTTTAATCTGACATTTTTTGATTTCAGAAGTTACATTTTGCTCCAAGAATTTATTCTTTAATTATAAACAACAGTTATTAACGGGGAAATATGTTATTATATTATTCTTTATTATATTATAATATTACACAAGAAATAACTTTCAGTTTACACAGATTTTTTTAACAGTTCCCTTTGAATTTTGCTGATGTCCTCTAGTGGTTGCAAACTGCTGATCTATACAGAGCTTCTTTAAGACATCCTACATCCAACAAACTAGTCAATTTTGAAAATGTGTAGTTTTTGCACATCTCCACTGAAAATTTGAATAAACCAAAAAAGAAATCATGTCTTGCTAGTGACTCTATTTTTGGACTGACCTCTGCTGCCTCTATTTGTTGTTTTATAAGTGAAGGATCCACCCCTGGGTCCTCCAGATCTTTCACAATGTCCTGAGAGTCACGGAGTGTGCTCAGCAGAGCGGCCATGTCAGCCCAGAATTTTCCGGCGAGATCTAGAACATCCTGAAGCTTTCCTTCTCTCTCCTCTGCCCTCTGCCTGATCTCATCCCACAGAGAGCGCAGCCGCAAGAGTCGTGAATGCACCGCTGAGGATGGGAACAGATTACAGATTTAGCAAAACCCATAGGATCAAGCGTTTCATACAACCATAAAGTTTCATTTCAGATTAAAGATCTTTACCCTGGGCGGCAGGATCGTCATGTGGGGCGCGACCGATGAGCTCTTCTCCTCGGGCACACAGGGCACTGAAAGATGGAAGGAGTTTGTCCAGTTCTAGTCCTGTTGCCCTGTGCTCTGCAAGTTGCTCCCGGATCTTCTCCACCTCAGCCGCCACTGGAGGAGGCTGCCGCAAGCGTTGGACCGCACCTTCCAAAGTCTCCAACAGAGGGTCCATCTTATCATGGAACTGAATGGAGAGAAAGAAGACAACAACAACAAGCAGGAATGGGGGAAGTTTAGGGAATACAGGATATGGAGAGGAGAGGGTGACAGGATATGAGGTACAGGGGTGGGACAGGTGGAGTCACAGTAAAGTAGAGTTTGAAGGGATGGAGGTGGAGAAACAGTACAATGTGTTAATTCAACAGCATGCAACAGGCCAGCAGGAAGAATTAACAACACAAACATTAAGCCAAAATGCACCTGATGTCAGATGTCAGTTTTGTTATTTAAAAAAATGCCTTAGTCCGAAACAATGGGTAAAATAAAGGTGATGCGTGTCATTAAAATAGCTTGAATATACAAAATGAGTTGATATTGTGCTGTATAATGCTGAACTGTGGGCTGTAACAACCTTTAAATAAATCACAAGCTGGGCAGCAGTCCAAAATAAGCATGCTAACATTTTGCAGCAAATACCTGGACAGACTGTGACACTGCTTCATCCAGTGCTGTGGCTCGACCTTTAACCTCCTCTTTGATGCTGAGGTAACGTCTCTCTGCTTCATTATAACGTTGTCTTACTGTCGCCCCTTCCTGGGCGCTCAGTTCTGCCAGCTGTGGGCCGATCTTTAGCAGTTTATCTATGTGAGGCTTATGCTCAGCGATGGATTCTCTCAGAAGCTAGGAAGGAAGACATATAAAACATGTTATATAATGTCAATAAATATTACATGAAATAAAAAATGTTTTGTGGATTTGTGATTTTTGTGGTTCTTAGTCCATGTCTAATGATGCATTCAAGTTCTCCTGGGAAGTACATATTTATGAGTTTGGGAACCTCCTGGTTGCATTTTTGCTTTTTTATATTCAGTTCATGAAGATGCTGTAAATTGAATCGTTATATATTGTAATTTCACAATACATTAGATTTTGTGCATGCAAGATAGATACTTTAATTGTAAATTAAAAAATACATTACTTTTAACAAATGTACTATTAATACAGATGCTGCATTCACTGTGTCTAACATGTTTTCTCAATGACACACCCCAAACTCTGGATTTGAGAAAATCCAAAGAAAATCCTCACTTGTAATTTAGACTGTGGAGACATTCATATGCGTTCAACACATAAATACGATCTTTCCGACATGACTTGAATGCATCATATAGCCACAAAGGAGCAAAATGGACTCAAGTCCTTTGTCTGCATACTGCCCACTCACCCTCATCTGGTCTTGCTGTTGTCTGAGTGCTTCTGTGTCGATGGCAGGAGGGGGTAACTGGGTAATCAGAGTCTCTGTCTCGCCCAGCCAGGGTTCAAGTTCCTCATACGTCTCCCAGAACCGCGCTACTAGCATCTGAGCCTGCTCTAGAGCTGAGAAGCGCTCAGCATGACTCTGATTTACTGCTTCATAACAAGCACTTAAAGAGTCCGTCTTCACCTACAGGAGGAAGCAGAAAGAGGTTTTATCGGGTCAACCAAATTAATCTTTAGAGACTGAAACAACAAGCTGGCACTGTTGTTTGTCCCAAACATGACTCGACAAATCAAATCTCCACCAGAAAATACATGAGTCACATCAATTCAATTTTCCTGATCTAACCTTTCGCAGAGGAATAATTACATGGCTTATTCTGACCCCTCTCTCTCTTCTTTATTTTGTCTCTAACCTTCAAAGCCTCTCTCTGTTGTTCGCTGCAGCTCTCCAGGATGTCCTCTCGTGTCTTAAGGAGTTGGTCCACGGTATCTTTGTGACGGATGATGTCGATGTTAAAGGCTCTCTGCACCTGGAGCTGAGCCACAGTCACATCAGGCTCCAGACTCAGAGGCCCCAGAGATGCCAACTTCCTCTCGGTCTCTCCGACCCAGGTCAGCTCTGCATCGACTGCCTCCTCATACTGAAACAATAACACACAAATACACTGTCAAAAAAAAAAAAAAAGGAAGCATGATGAAAATATTTACAAATTCAAGAAGGCAACATGGACAGAGGATCCTAAATCAAACTTTGCTTAAGCAACAACTTATGTTAAATATTTATAATATTGATAATATTTTAAAATGTATGTTAAAGCTGCAAATGTACTTATTATTTTGGACTCACTTTATTTTAATGTACAATTCTCACCATTAACAAATCATTAACTATGACTTTTGCCTCAATAAACTCCTAATTTGCTGCTTATTAATAGTTAGTAAGGTAGTTGTTAAATATTCATGCTAATAGACTACTAGAACTGGTCCCTATACTAAAGTGTTACCTATATGCGCTTTATAAGTATTAATTAACAGTCAATATGTTATTAATAGGTGTGCTAATAAGCAACTAGTTAATAGTGAGAATTGGTTCCTATACTAAAGTGTTACCATTATTTTGTATTTTATTATAACAATTTATATGTACTTTAAAGTATTACATCATTCTAAAAAGAAAAAAAAAAGACATATTGTAAAAGAATTATATCAAATTTAATTTTAATTTCCTAAAAGAAAATACTAATGCTTGCAAGGTATGGAAAGAATAAAGTTAAATTTTAAGTAAGTTTAGGTTTTGGCTGTGTGTTGATCATACAT